TATGGAAATCCTTAATTATGTGTTTTGGATAATCAATAATATTATATGTTAATATATGTTTTCAGATTACAACAATAGGAACTCTATTTCTTTAGAAATATTAGACGTGTCCATCCTAGTGTGAACCCAAACCCTAGAATAATCTAATAGCACTGGGTATACTCCTCACGCCCACCGGCGTTACGGGGCGTTTAACGCCCCGGGGGCGTGAAACACCGCCCCCCGTCCCCGGGACGTTGTCAGAGTTTGGACGAATTATCTACGAGCAAAGAATGAGAGAGATCAAGGAGAAATATAATTTACCTTAGTTTTTTTATTAATGTATCTTTTTTTTTAAATTATTGTCGCTTTTTTTATTTAATTAATGTGTTTTTTTATTATTCGTGTTTCAATTTAATTAAATAATAAATTAATTACATTTTATTAATTTAATTTTAGAAAATGTATATTTAAAAATGTAAAAAATGAAGGTTTGAAGCCCCAGTTTGAAGCCCCGGGGCTTCAAATCCATTTCCGGTGAATTTTGGGTGTAAGTTAAAACTGACGTGGCAGAGAGAGAAAGTTTGAAGCCCCGTTTTAAAACCACGGGGCTTCAAACGTATTACCAGTGCTCTAAGAGAGAATGATGAAGTGCAAAAGAAAATAAAAAAAATCGAAAGACATTAGAATTGACGGAGTATTTTTGACGGTTCGGAAGACGGAGCATTTTATTCTGTAGCAATATTTTTTATTAAAAAATATGTTTACTTGATATGCCACATGGCAATCACATAAATGTGGGATAGAGGAATGGGACCCAAAGTGGGATAGAGGATCCAGCCCCATGAAACTATGAATATCGTTTCCCCTGGGCTTCTTCCCCACCGGCCACCGGCGATTCATTTTCCACCCTATCAGTTCCTTCCCAAATCACAATCACAATCAGTGATTGCCCGGCCGCATTTGTTAAACTCCGCCTGCTCCACTGTAATCCAATGGCGTCCTACGTAGAATTCGGGAAATGCAAATTGGTAGGGTTCTCTCTTACTCCCGCCGGCGCTCGCCTCCACCGCGGCGGCCGCCCATCATCTTCCACCTACCTTTTCTCCCCATCTTCTAAATCCGTTCTCTTGAGGCGACCCGTTTACCCGAATCTTGGTCTGAAAGTGTTTGATGGTTGCCCTCTATATGCTTCGAAGGCCTCAGGGGGGATTCAACTGATTACTAGGGCCGAAGGAGACTGCTTTGATGCTGCAGAAACCCAAGAGGTAATGGGATTTCGCTGTCATTGTGTTCTAAGTACTTATGCATATTTTTACGCGAGTTATTTGAATAGATTTTGTGTTTTTGTCAAGTGCAATTCTTGCAAAATGACATGTTAGTGTGTAATTGCTACTTTAATCTAGTGCATGCTGTTTGATGATGTGCATTCAATCTCACATTCTTATATTAATGTGCAAATTTTTTACATCTAAAGGAAGGAACTTTTTTTTTCTCCGATAGATTTTACAGAAACAAGCGGATTTTTTTCATAAAAATAACCATCTCTATCAAAATTATGTAGAATGGGTTTGTTAGCTGACTATCTGAGTAGGCATCAAGATGATACGTAGTATCTACTCATTAGCAATGCATATTATCTACTCATTAGCAATGCATATTATCTACTTCTCCAGCATTTATCAATGCGATTGCAGTAAGGAGGGTTAATACATTGAGTCTTCTGTACTTAGATGATACTCCCTCAGTCCGGATTTATTTATCCACTTTTTCCCATTCTGGAGAATCTAGAATTAATTGTGCACGTATCATATTTTGTAAGCAAATTATTGGTAATGATAAAAAAAGGCCATCTAAAATGCATACATTGTTCCCATCAATGATCAATGTACGATAAAATAAATCCAAGGAGTTATTTATTACTTTACCCTCAATCCTTAAAATATGAGGTATTTTAGAAAGAGGATGACTAAATCTGGGCGGAGGGAGTACATTTCTTTCATTGAAATCACTGAGAGGTTTGTTTTCTAGGAATCCCACTTGGCCTCAATTTCATCAGCAAGGAAGAAATCAAGTCAATTGACTAAAAGGGTAGTCTTTGGTCTAGGCATTGGGGGTACTGCTGGAGGTGTGGTATTAGCTGGAGGATGGGTTTTTACACTGGCCCTTTCTGCTGCTGTGTTTGTGGGCGCTAGAGAGTACTTTGAATTGGTTAGAAGTCACGACAATGCCGCTGGAATGACCCCACTGTCCCTAAATGTGTCGCGGCTTGTCTCTGTGATGTGCGCCCTTATGCCAGCACTTACTTTGTAAGAGTTTCTAAAATCTATTATTCATTGTTTTCAATGGAAAAAATCAGGGGCTGATGTAAAAGACAATTACTCCCTCGGCCCCATATATTGAGAAACCAGACTCTTTCTATGGGATGGAGAGAGTATATATTTTTTTAGCATCACAGATTATTTGGTAGTCATACTTTGTTCACATAACTTAAATAATCAACTAATTTGTACAAATGTTTTTATCTAATATTTCATCATATTTTCCCATAATGTTCAAAGATGTGGTGTCTTTTAAGCAATCTTTTTGAACTTGATTATGGTTGCTCATTTGGATCATGCTCTATTAAAAGAGCCCAGTTCTGAAAGCTTTGTTTTTTGTTACCTAAAAGAGAGTCATGTTTCATCAATGGAAATAATATCTCAAGTAATTTTCCAAAACAAAGTAGCAAGCAACTGTAAAATACTTGTTCAGTGCCCCAAAGTTGAAAGATATATCTTCACTACAACTGTTCTTTTAAAACTTCTTTCCAAAGATTCCTTCAACTGATTGGGGTTTTCTTGCTTCTTGTCAGATACTTGGGACAAACTGATGTTTCAGTTATTTCTGCAGCCTTTGTTGTTTCTGTGACATTGCTTTTGCAAAGGGAAATCCCTCATTTCCACCAGCTTACTAGTGCCATATTTGGGCTATTCTATTGTGGCTATCTTCCTTGTTTCTGGGTTAAGTTGAGATGCAGTTTAGCAGTCCCAGCCCTAAACACACGTAAGAATCAAGTTCCAGTGATGGTGTGCACCGTGCACCTGTTTTTTCATTTTCAATTTTTTGAATTAAATCTAACTGTTTTTGTATCAATACAGACTTAAACTTCCCATGCTTCTTACTTTTTTATGAAGTTTTGGGCAATAATAGCAGCAATGCAAATAGGGTCTAACAGAAACAAAACTCTATACTAGGTTGTTGTTGTAGTGTTGCAACCCCTTTTAGCTTCTTATTTTCTTCAATTAGAATGCATTTTTCATTTTTCCATTCCCCTTTGGAGCCAAAGATTCACTATTTTTTGGCTTTGAGGTATGATGGAATAAAGCAAATTGGCTCTCTAAACTGTCCGTGCTTCTTGCAATCGTGAAGTAACAGTTGGTCAATGCAACATTCGACGCTCATCATGGGTCATCTACTCATCTGGAAACAGCCGCTCTATGTTTAAAACATTGGGGTCAGACTGCGTACATCCGACCCCCCTTACCCCGCAATAGACGGGAGCCATTGAGGCACTGGGGTAATGTTGTTGTTGTTGTTGTAGAATGCATTTTTCATTGCATGAGAGAATTCAAGCTAGACAATTTTTGGCTTTTCATTGATGGAACTGAAGGATACTATAAAATTTACATTCAGTCCTTTGAAGGATAACCAAAATGTTATAAAACTTGGGATTATCGGGTAGTGCCAAAATATTGTTTGGCATGATTTTGGTTTTCACACAAACCAGGGAAATGACACAAACCATTTACAAAAAAATCTTTGGTTCTCTAATATTCCATTAAATCATTTGGATGGGGAATATATTTTTGAATTTTCATGAGGGACAATTTTGGAATAGCAGGAAATTTTGAATGAATTTTGAAAATTTAAATTCGTGCAGGAATAGCAGAAGCCTGGCCAGCCATATTCGGAGGACGAACTCTGTGGACGGTGGGTCTAGTGGCGTCCTTGATCTCTTTCAGCAGTATCATTGCAGCCGACACATTCGCGTTTTTTGGCGGGAAGGTAATTTGTTTTTAGGCGGGGGAGGTAAATTTATGAGGTTAAAATTTTACATCAAACTCAAAATCTGTCTATAACTTATCTGCAGGCTTTCGGTAGGACACGACTTACAGAAATCAGCCCAAAGAAGACTTGGGAGGGGGCATTAGCAGGGCTGGCTGGCTGTGTAGCCACCACTGTACTTTTGTCAAAGTTACTATGCTGGCCCAACTCTATGCTTAGGTGGGGTGGAATAATCTATGGGAATTGATATTGACACTCCAAAGTTGAAAATGAAACTGCAAATTCTGCATTGAAAGACCAAAATATCCTCTACATAGAAGAAGAAGTTAGCATAGGGTGCAAATTCTGCATTGAAAGACCAAAATATCCTCTTATAAAGTCAGCCATGAATTTCAATGAAATGTTCTTTGTTTCCTCCAGTGGTGTGGCTTTTGGGGTTGTGAACTTTCTTGGATCAATTTTCGGCGACCTTACAGAGTCCATGATCAAACGCGATGCTTGTGTAAAAGACTCGGGATCCCTCATTCCGGGACACGGTAAAAAGACCTTTCTACCCCCGTTTTTCGTATACTAACTACGGTTGATGCCATAGGGTGGAACTGAGTTATTTGAGCGTGCCGAAAAATTGTTGAAATGTGCAGGTGGAATACTGGACAGAGTGGACAGCTATATATTCACGGGTGGCCTCGTTTACTCGTTCGTGAAAATATGTTTGTCAACCTATGGTGTTTGAACACAGGGTCATGCTACACTCAGAGCACAAATGACACCAAAGTTGACACTGCAAGTGTTTAACGTAAAATGGTAACAATGACATCTCTAAAGTTATTAATGTACCATTTTCTTTTATCAAATAATACTATTTGCTCTAAAGTTTAGATACTCCGTATATAAGTGCATAATTCTTTCATTAATGCTTGTAAAAAACGATAAATGAATCAAACCCAAGCTTTTTAGAGACAGTGCTTTTTTGGAAGTGATAAGAGAAGAACTTAAAAAAGGATTGGGAAATTAAATTATGCATCCAACTATAAGGCTGACAGGACAAGTCTCTGAAAGAAGCTTTTGCAAGCCCTTTTTTTCCCTTTTTTTTCTTTTTAGCTTTCATGTACCTTTTTTTTCATGTTCATTATTTACCCATGTGGAAAATATGTTTAAATATTCGTCGGGTCTCAATTTTTTTACTACATATTTCTTAAATTCACATTTCAGAATACACTCTCTACTATATTACTGTATTTTTTAGTAATGAATATATAGCATATACGAATTCTCTTAAATTTTAATACGGAGAACTATTTTTTCATAAATTTTGTAAAATACAAATGGGTAACGTTTTTTTTGCGGTGTAAGGGAGAACTATTTTTTTCGTGTATGGACTATTTTTTGTAGATATTCAATTGTTGTTTTAAAAATTTATTTTATATTATGAATATATTTGTAAATATACATAAAATAATTGTTTGGCTAAACTTATATTTATATTCCGTATATATTAAGATGACTATGAAAATTCATATTCTCTTTGTTCCATTTTAAGTGCATTGCTTGTTGTTTACAATGTTTGATTGAAATTATTTTAAATGATCTGTATGAAAAATTAGGTAAGATTAAAAACTAAAATTTATAAATTCAAAAATTACAACGTATATCAAAAGATCTAGGTGATATGACTAATATTATTTTATTATTTGAATGACAAAAATAACTAAAGAAAATAGTTAAATTTTGACTCTATAAAGAGTAAATAGGTCACTTAAATTTGAGGGAGGATGTAATTTCTAACATAATTGAAAGAGTACTTATTTCTCGCATCATGTATGGACAGGATAATATATGCTAATAATTTAATTATGATATTAAGATGATTGTTCTCTGTAATATGGACTATGGAGTGCTCCGTAATATTTAGTGTAATTGGAAAAAATAGACAATGGATAATAATTTATTTGTTCAAATAAATACTCCGTATTTAGTTAATAATTATGAGACTTTTTAAACTTCTCTCTTGACTTGTATGGTAGAAACTAGAAAGCTCACTCCCAGGATTCATAGAAAAGTTCACCAAGATTCAAGCCCAATGAAGAAATATATGAACAGATATTAATTTGCAATTCTCCGTCGTATGGATTATACGAAATTTTCTTTAGAAGGAAAGTGAAGATCATTAATCATTCCAGAACAACCTAAATATAAAAATAATTATGAGATGAAGCTAGAGAACATTAATAAAGACATATGGTTGTTTTTTTTTCATATTTACAAAGAGAATGTTAATAAGAATAATTAAATAAAAAATATTGTTTAATCACCACTATTAGACTTCAAAATCCAGATAAGAGACTCCCTCCAATTACCAAATGGTTTAGTGGGGAAAGATATGAAGAAAGCGGCGGACAACAAAAGAAAACTTGAGCTTCAAGGGAGCCCTTTAAGTTGTAGGAGTCCCTACCCCACATGTCCTTTACAAGAACACAAAGAGTGTGAACTAACAAAAGGAAAAGGGTTATAATAGCCACAGCAAAGTAACAACCTCTCTAAAAGTTAATTAATAGGAAGACAACAAAAACAGTTTCTCCTTGCCTAAAAAATTAATTATATTCCCATTTTTTGTGTTTTCCTATCATCTCAAACTCGTAAATCCAGATTTGATCTCAATTGTTCCAAAATATTATTAGTCTCATTCAAAACTTACATCACTCTTAAAAATATTTTTTTTTCTAATATTTGAAAACATGATCTTTTTTACAATCTTCTCAGATTCTTTAACTTGACTCCTCCATGAATGGAGTATATATACTAGTCGGGCAATGCTAGGGGTACCCCATGTTGGTGTACCCCTAGCTTAATTCATACTAGTCAGCCAAACACACTACATAGAGTTCGACTATAACAAATCTCAACATTTGGTTTTGGACTACTTGTGGACATATTAGTTAGGGCTTGCTAGGGGCATAGCCGTATTTGTACACCAATTATACATCATGCTTTTTACAAATATAACTGATAATTCTTCGTGACTGCACAAACAATTATTGTCTGTGTATATCAGTGACAAATGTAATATTGTATCCTCAGTATAACTAATGTAAAAAATTAATGTTCTTACTAATTAGCATTGCAACACTCCAACTTATAATAAATAAAGCAATTTAGCTCCAAAACTAGGGGAATTGGCCCCAAACTTAAGACTAAGATTAGGCACAAAAAAAAAGAACAGCAAGTCCACGTCCTAATTGTATCCAACGCCTAACTGTAATGGGGAAAATCCAAATTCGTGTCACACAATTTGTGCTTTTTACAATCAATTTAGACCGGACATTAATAATATTCCTCGCCGACCTTTTTCCTAACACAAAGAGAAAAAGAAAATAGTTTTACTACTTCCGCAGAATAAATACTTACGAGTACTTTATATAGAAAAAATTTCTTCAAAGTCACTCAAATTTACGTCAATTTTTTTTAAAATAAAAAATCGTCACTCCAAGATTGGTGCTTCGTTGGTTCTTATTTAAATTGTGTGTCCATAATTCACAAAGTTAAATTTCATTCATTTTCAAAATTTGTTTTCATTACTTATTTGATAGGATAAAATTGTCATGTCACCATCTCATTTATGTCTGACTCAAGTTATGTAATTTTTTATTTTTTAAATACGTACCGTTTCATTTCTCAAAAAAGTTTAAATGAAAACAACTTTAGTTAAATATAGTAAATTGAAACAAATAATTAAATCTAAGAGCACTGTAAATGGTCATGAAGCCCCGAGGCTTCAAACCGGGGCTTCAAACTCTCTCTCTCTGCCACGTCAGCTTTAACTTACACCAAAAATTCACTGGAAATGGTTTTGAAGTCCCGGGGCTTCAAACTGGGGCTTCAAACCTTCTTTTTTTACATTTTTAAATATACATCTCCTAAATTTAAATTAATAAATTTAAATTAATTTATTATTTAATTATATTGAAACACAAATACAAAAAAATAAATTCATTAAATTTAAAGAAATTGAAACGACCATAATTTAAAATTTAAAAAATTACATTNCACGTCAGCTTTAACTTACACCAAAAATTCACTGGAAATGGTTTTGAAGTCCCGGGGCTTCAAACTGGGGCTTCAAACCTTCTTTTTTTACATTTTTAAATATACATCTCCTAAATTTAAATTAATAAATTTAAATTAATTTATTATTTAATTATATTGAAACACAAATACAAAAAAATAAATTCATTAAATTTAAAGAAATTGAAACGACCATAATTTAAAATTTAAAAAATTACATTAATTAAAATAAAAAAAACGACAATAATAAAAAAGATACATTAATAAAAAAAACTAAGGTAAATTATATTTCGCCTTGATCTCTCTTTATCTTTGCTCGTAGATCATCTGTTTGAAACCCGACAACGTAGAAAGGTCGGTTTCCATGATTTTGAATAAAAAAATTACATTCATTAAATTAAAAAATTAAATTCATTATTAAAAAACTACATTAATTAAATAAAAACATTACATTCATTAAATAAAAAAATTACATTCATGAAAAAAAATAAAACACTTGAATAATAATTTTTTTAAAAAAAGATGATAGATAGAGAGAAATTTGTATTTGTGTTGAATTTTTTTTAAAAAATTAAATTTAATTTATAGAGAAGAAAAGAGGAAAAAAGAGGGAGAAAAAGGGAAGAAGAAGGCGTGACAATGCCTTCAAAGTGCGTCAAAACTTTGACGCAAGAAGTTTAACGCCCTTTTAACGGGGGAGGGGGGCAGTGTTTAACGTCCCCCAGGCTTCAAAATGGTCATAACGCCGAGGAGCGTTAAGGGTAGTACTAGTGCTCTAAGATGGAGAAAGTATATATGATTTTGAGTAAATTCTATAAAAAGTCCCCAGTTATAGGTCATTTTACATATTTAGTCCCTACAAAGCAAATATTACTTATTTAGTCCCTAATTATTATATTCATTTTCACGAATAGTCTTTTTTTAACATTTCTGTTAAGAACGTTGGTAAAATTGTAAATTCACACTTCTTTCTCTCCTCAATTAAGCTTCTTCCCCCCTTCGCACTCCTTTCCAAAACCTGTCGCTAAGTTTGAAGCTTTGAACCCAAATTTGAAATTATCACTCTTCTCTCAATTGTTTGTCGAACTGATGGAACCCAAATTTGAAACCAGTAACCTTCGTGGATGAGTTTTAATGTTTATTTTCTTTGCAATTTCTTGAGACTAACCGATAAAACTCATCCATAAACCTTATTGGTTTTGATTTTAGAAAGGAGTGATCATTTCAGTTTTGGGTTTAGAGCTTCAAACTCAGCGACGAGTTTGAGAAAGAGTACGAAAGGAATGAGGAAACTTAATTGAGGAGAGAAAGGAGTGTGAATTTACAATTTTATCTACGTTTTTAACGGAAATGTTAACAAAGGACCATTCGTGGAAATGAATATAATAATTAGGGACTAAATAAGTAATATTTGATATGTAGGGACTAAATATGTAAAACGACCTATAACTGGGGACCTTTTATGGAATTTACTCTATAATTTTATCTAATTTGAAAGATCAAATCAGATTGTTGGTACGAGACGCTCTCAAAAACTACTTTGATCTCAATCTCTCTTGATCTAATTATGATCTATCTCATCTCATCTTTTTTGTTTGAATCTTTTTGCGCTTCACTGCGTCTACGGTCTTCTCCAAAACCGACCGATCTAATACCCTCAATAAATTGAGCGAGTATTTTTTTTGGAAGTTATTGGTTTGAGAAATATTGTGATAGAATAAATTGTAAAATGATTTTATGAAATTTACATAAATAACATTTGGGTAATTTAAAGAAATACTCCAAACCTCGAAGTTTAAAATTTTAAGATTCATACAGCTAAAAAAATAGAGATTGATATGTATTGTGACAAAATTAGATTGACTAGGCATATATGAATTTGAAAACAAACCAATTATTACGGAACACAGACTAATAGTCGTATGATCAAATTACATAATGTTAGACCGATTTATGTCGTTGAGAATGTGTCCATCACTTTTTGACTTTAGCAGTCTAACTCTATATGATTCCTTAATACCGATTTATTCAATCCTCCCTATAATTTGTGCTTAATTCATTACTGTTCTAATTATACCCTATAACTAGACTTCTTTGATCTGTCCATACACATTCTCAAGGAAAAAACAGAAAACTTTAAAACGTATAAACAAAATGAAATGAGTATCTTTTGTAAATGAATAATAAGATGAGTCCAATTTGCATTTAAAGTCCAATTTACCTCCTCTCAATGACCACCTAGTCGGGTCTAAGGGGAGCCTTGGAGATGAGGCCCGTCCTTTTTTCAGAATGATCGAAATCTCAAAATTCTACATGATATTAGTGCAAATGATTAAGAGTTCAAAGAAGAAGCTCAGGTGAATTCAAATAGCCACTTGTAGAATTTTAGTACGTGATATTGATGTACATTGGTTATGAGTAATAAAACTAAACTTTGATTGATTTCGTCATAGATTAATGCAGGCTAAGGTAATGACTTGTAAATTAAGTTAATGAGGCAGTAATTACAATTAATTACAGAGTAGTCCAAGACAGATTAAAGTATTAAACTAGTAGGGTGCGGAGGTCCAAAAGACAGAACAGATGTGTTGAAAACTCATCTTCTCCTTTGTTTTTTCCATTCCTCGTTTTGTGCTGGTACAACATATGATCATAGACCAAAACGAGACCAATACCACAATCAGCATATAACAGACAATTATAAGCCTGTAATCCTAAAAATAACATTTTTTTTCCTTCTTACTTTGGAACAAATCTGCCTACAGTTACATAACACAATTAGTTGCACCAAACAAAGTCTATAGGCAAAAGAAACATTGAGAATAAAATTAGAACATGAGAAGATTTGCACCTTTTGTTTGTTGAAAAAAAAAATGTCATTTTGAGCTCCAAGAACCACATTATAACTCACAAATCAACAACTCCATGCAGAGACAGAGAGAAGCTCCTTCCTTTGCCAGCAGAGGACAAGGGAAGAATGTTTCTTCTCCACGTGGAACCCCCGGACAGGGGTTCTCTTCACCACGCACTCCACCTGAGACTCGTTGAAGTTGCTGAAGCTCACCGGAGAGAAGCCTGAGGAGAGGAACGCCGTTTTCCAGTTCTGGGTTTTCTCCTGGGAGTGGAACCGTCCCGTCACTATTTTCTCCATCTCCGGCAGGACCAAGAACCTCTCCACCTTCTGGAGGACATCCAGGTTCACGTTCACGGCGTCCAGAGATTCCAGAAGGTTCGTGTAATGCTGGAGCGCGTGGATGACCTGGTTCGGGAACAGCAGGTCCGTCCGGTCACATGCTCTGTCTATGGACACCACGATTTTAGGGGATACCCGTTTCACGAAGGGGAGGACTGAGAGTAATTGGTATGTGGTGAAGCAGCTGACCGGGAGACGTACGGCGATTGCTTCTTGGGTCGCCTGAAGAAGGTGGAGGGAGTCAACGGCCAAGATTTCGAACTGGAACGGGAGGTTGATTTCCGCGGCGAAATGGGTTAGGTTGTCCTCGGTGAGACGGAGCTCGAGGTCGTCGTGGGTCTCCGGCGAGGCTATAACGGTGATTTTGAGTGTGGGTACGCCGGAGCTCCTCAGGGAGAGCTCTTGCATGAGGGAAGCCCAGTGTCCGCCGTACCCGATATCGAAATCGATTATTCGGATCCTGCCGGACCCGTCTAAGGATTCAAGAAGAGCCTGGTTGCAGGTGAAATTGGCGAATGGGGGAATTGGGGAGATCTCGAAGAATGACTTGTAAGCGCCGATCTTGAAAATAAGGGTGAATGGTGGAACAGAGGATGATGACGAGGAAGAGGAAGATTGGAGGAGAGATTGGAGAGATTCTTTGCAGTAGAAAGCTGCTCTGTAGAATGGGTTTCCGATCGGAGAGAGGTGATGATTGAGCCGCGCCAATATCGCTTGCGCGAGAGCGGGGTTGCCGGACTGGAAAAGCTCCGCCGTCTTGAACAGTTCGTCGATTATGGTTTGCTGCTGCTGTTGATGCAGCTGAACTGTTTCTTCTCCGGCGAGGAAGTTCGGGAGGAGCTGGAAGTGGTGAGAAGGCGGGGGATCGGAAACCAGCCGTCTGTGGATCTGAGATCCGGCGGGGTTTGGAGTCCCGCGATTCTGCCGCTTCGCCGGCGGCGGTATGAGGTTGCTCTGTTCCTGCCGGGGGTACGGCAATGGCATGAGGAATGGTGGGTTTTGCACTTGCTGCCGGGAAATCAGCAGATCTGGGTTGAATCCGGAAGGATGAACGGGTATTTGAGCGCTCGCCGGGAATTTCATGCTGGGGGCATTTTCCGGCGTGTTCGGGAGTCTGGTGACTGGGAAACTTGATTCGGAGATGGCTGGGATGAAAGCTTCGTCGGAGCTCCGCAGGTCTACGTCAAACCCTTGATCCATAGCAGGAAACCCGACATTGAAGTCGTACTCCACCGGCACGGCGGCCTGCAACACCATTGACGGGTCATCCACATCCCCCATGATCCAACGGAAAAGAGACTCGGGGCCAGGCGAGGCCGCGACGGAGTCGGACAAAACGCCGTCCCAATCGTCGATTCCACATTTCTCCGCCGGGGACGCTCCGCCCCCGCCACTGAACTCAAGAGACGGCGGAACAGGCTTGAGAACATCGGATTCATCTCCCCCCGCACTTGAACTGGATGCAGGGTTATCGTCTTCCATGTCAAATTCGGGTTGCAAGAAACCGCCGCCACCCTGGCCGTCTCTGGCAAACCAGCCCCGCCGCCGCCTCTGCGCAGAGTGAATCTGCAAAAACAAAACTCGTACGAAATTCAAGATCCCCCTTCCTCAAAAATTCAATTGGAAAGGGCATCCCCTTCATCCAAACCCTTTATATCCCCAGCATCACAGAAGAAATTAAATCCCAGATATTAGGAAAATAGTTGGGCTGGATGGAAATGGAGGATTGGGGTTGAAGATGAGTGAAAAAGATTGGGTTTTTTTCTTCCTTTCTTCTTTATGATTTTTGGAAGAAGGAGAGAAATTTGTGGTTCTGAGGTTGGAGTAAGATGCTTTTGTCTTCAGAGGTCTGCCATGGATGGATGCGTGAGCCTTCATCCCTTCTCTTTCTAAAACTGTCTTTCTTTTTGTTTTTTTATTAATTTCATTTTCTCCTTTCTTTTCGTTTCAATAATGTCTATGGAGTAGGGAGTACGGAGTTTTTTCCTAGAAAAACAATGAGGGGTATGTTATATCTACCCAAAATTTGTACCTTATTTAACTATAAAGGTATGTACAAATATTTTAATGGTTTACATTGACATAAATTATTGGTGTATTAACAAAAGTTTACACTGACACAAAGTATTGGTGCGTTAACAAAATTGGCATTACACCAACACAAAATGTTGGTACACTCATGCGGTGTACAAAATGAGGTATAAATTCTTGGAATACAAATAGTTTTATTTAACAATGAAATTCCACCCCACTTGTCTCACCGAATGGTGAGAGGGTAAATCTTTTAAAAGGTTGTCTGGTATCCGATGCACATATGCATGCAATGAGCAAATAGAACTTGCACACTGCCATTGTCAGAATTCGACCCTAAGATTAATAATGTTAACATTATTTCTTTAAACCAGTTAAGTTATTCATACAAGCGAAGTTTTTTTGTAGTGCTTGAGGGGAGCTTCTTGTTTGTGAAGAATGATTTGGTAACCTATAACCTTAGACTAAATTGGATCAATTGGGTAAGTTTCATTTCAGATTTTTACAAATTGAATATCTGTTTCGAATATAAGAACTAAGAAGTTGTTCTAAATAGGAGCGAGATATTAAGAAATTATCAAAATATGAACCTAAATCTTTTATCCCCAAAATTTCAGACTGTGGACTGTGGCAATGTAGCTACTTTTTTTACATAGAACGTACCCAAACTTTACGCATTGTAACATAGAGGTACATCATCTTAAACTTGTAACAAAAAGTACCTCAATTTTTTTAAAAAATGAAACAAAAAGGTATCCTTGCCAAAATTATAAGAACCTGACCGGTGAGTGCACATGAGGCACTCTACTTAGCTTTCTGGTATACATGTGGCATTCCATATGAATTCTAGATTAACATTTAATTTAGGCAATATTTTATTAACTTTGCATTTGACACATATAAAGTCGATTATTTTTTAAAAAAATTAAACTTTGTTTTATTTATTCAATTTAATGTTCTTCTTGTAATGGAAGTATATTTTAAGAAGTACTCCGTATATTTTAATTTTATTTTAACCCTGTGCTTTCTAAAACATTTTTATTTTTATTTTATTATTTTATAAATTCTATATTTTACAAGATACTACACATTTTAAACATAAGTAGCAATAATATTTTAATAATTGTCTAAAATATATTTTTAACAATGGATGCTTATGGTATATTGGGTATCTTGTTTGTGGACGTGCTTGACGCCATGTTTAAGCCTTTTATGTTTGCAATTACTTTGAGTGATTTTGGTGGTCCAATGACTACAAGAGTACTTTTAAAAATTTGAACAATGCTTCAATATTTAAAGTAGGCACTAGGTTTTAGGAATGAAAAGTTTTGGTTTTTTCAAACTGACCAAACCAATCGGTTTTTCTCAATTTGGTTTGTTCAGTTCTAACTTCTAACTCTAATTCGGTTCCATCACTTATTATGAATACTTTCAATTTTTGATTATTTCGGTTATGGATCGAAACCGACAAAATCGATTCGATTCTCGCCCCTGCCCATATCCAAGCGTCAAAGTTTAAATTTCAATTCTAAATCTGTTTTTTCTAATTATTCTTCAAATTGAGTGTTAAATTAATTTGCACTAAATAAGACTAAAACATAGTGACTTTCTTAATTTAAGATTTAAACTTTTTTATTCTCTAAGTAGGACTTATTAATGTCTTCGTGGAAGAAATAATGTCCAGTAATGATAGACATTTAGTTGAATAATGACTAATTAATAATGACCAAAAGTCCTACATTGGGAAATAAAAACATATGCTCCTATATTGGGAAAAATCATTATGTTTTAGTCTTATTTAAGTAAATTACTCGTTACTAATATACCGTTTATTTTAAATATATACAGTTTATTATATATACAATTTTGAATCTACATTTATTTATCTACATTTTAATATACAGTTTATTTTAAATACAATTTTTATCTACATTTATTTATCTGCATTTTAAATACATCTTTTAAAAAAAAGTTAATATGAAATCATATGATGTGTAAAAGACATATGATTCAAGGTGATTCAAGATGCAACACTACATGTATTAATATGACATTTAAAAATGATATTAAAATGAAATCATATGATCTGTAAAAGACATTTTTTTATTCATCTTTTTCCCAACCTTGTTTTGTTTAACTAAATGTTGTTTTTCAATTCATGATTAGATCAAAAGTCAAGAGCAAAGTCAATGGAGTCAATAGCTTCTCATGATTCACAATGTGAAGAATAAAATGAAGCTCAAAATGCATCAATTACTGAAGAAAGTAGGGCAAAGTCCTCATGTTCTAGACCTCAAAGGAAGGAAAGGAGCACAACTTAAATATAAATAGGGGAATTTACCTAAATGTTACTAAAATATAGTGACTTTTCCAATGTATTATGACATATTTTTATTTTCAAATGTAGTACTACTAGTCATTGTCCACTGGTTATAATTTAAGTAAATGTACTACGTCATTGGACATTGTTCAAATTAAATATCCATTATCATATCGCTAGATGTTATTCTAACCATTAGACATTATTCAAGTACTATTTAGAGAACAAAAAAATATAAGTACTATATTGAGTATTGACATATGCTTTAATATTATTTAATGTAAATTTCACATATAAATATTGTGTCCTTTAGAAAAAAAGATTATTCTGCTAATTATATTGTGTCACCCTTTGGCTTTGAGTGTTTTTTTACGAAGTTGTGAGATGGAAAGTGCATTATTCAACTCAATCCTTGTAGCTTTTTTTGCCGGTTATTCCCCTTACCACAACCTTTTAATTAATTAACAAACTCAACCCATTAAAATGTCACATATTCTGATATTCACATTCTTTAGCTAGCTTCTAGATTAAAATTGTAATTAAGTCTATTTTTATTGGCTTATGAAGAAACCCAGCCAAGAATCGTACATGACATGAAATAGACGATAAAACAAGCCATCAACTTAATTTATTTTATATATCCAATTACAAAGCCATTAAATTAATTAATTAAAGGCATAATAATTAACATTCCAGAATGTCGTGTTTGTGCACTTTTAATGGAGCATGTGTCTAGCTATAAAAAAACATACCACCAACTTTTTAAATATTTATAATAATACGGAGTACTTTTTATGTTCCTATGTATTCGATTATTGATACGCTAGTTCGTGAAAGTTGAATCCTAGCAATATAATGGCCGCACGTTTTTCGTTCGGCCAAAAAGAACGCAGAGCGTAGAGGGTGAGAAGTGAGGATTTTTAGGGTTGAAACTTGAAAGAAGAGAGAAATCTAGGGGAGGAAGATTGGAATATTATTATTGCTTCAGAGAAAGGGTTTACATGCATCTCCCCTATTATTGCTTGAGGGAAAAATTATGTTTATTTCTACAATGTGTGTTGAAGGAATTTGTAAATTAGTGTGCTGTTGTGTAGATAGAATTTACTTTATATTGTGTAATAAGTTGTACTGGCCCGTGGGCCTTCTCTTGTAAAACCCTACGAAGCTCTTCCCTATATAAGGGAGCTATTATCAATAGAGAAAGTGACATCTCCCACAACACGTTATCAGCACGAGCTCAACCCTAATTTTTTCCGTCCGCCTCCCTCCCCTGTTTTTTTCTTTTCGCCGATCTCTGCCGCTGTGCATCGCATCGCCGTTCTCCACTGCATCGCAGAGGAAAAGAACCCCATCTGCAAATCAAATCGGAAGGATCTAGCCAGCCCCACCCATTGTTCTGCCGCACATACCCCTATCAGGTTCTTATCCAATTATGTTTTTAACTGTGCATGATAATATTAGATCTTCATTA